TGTGTGTGTGTGTGTGTGTGTTTGTGTGTGTGTATGTGAATGTGTACCAACAAATACGTGTCTATGTACAGATTATTTTTGCTGAAGTTCTCGCTATTTTTTGTCGTTCGTTTTCAGACTCATGCCAAGTAGGAGGAATGACGAAAACAGTGACCTCATAAGATTATGCACCTCTGGTTTTGTAGCCTGAGTGGTGTCGACACACTGGAGAAGCCCTCGTTTTACCATTGCTCTAGGATTCTCAACAACTAACATTCAAGGTTTTGTATCAACGTTGTGAACTACTGCAGAACTTATAGCTTTATTATACGCATAATACAAGGCTGGCAAATGCTTAATAGTTCTATTGTTGGTTGTTATAGTTGTTAGTTGAAGTTAGAAGTTGGAATAGCATAATTTTCGAAGAAACGCTGGGAGTTGTGGCACCAGGAAGATCAACAAGAGGATATTGTGAGCTGAATCGTTTCTGGCCGCGTCCTAGGCTCTCGGATAAAGGAGGCAATTTCCAACATATCAGGCTGACGTCATCCAGAGGAATTAATGCCGTCACAATGACCAACAACACTCCTCGTCACATGTGGAAGACAGGTATGTCTGTTGTTTGTGGACAGTTATTGTGTCAGTTTATGTATACACACATACTCACTCCCTCACTCACTCACTCTTGTCAAGTAAATTCCTTGTACGATCCTTACGTCCACCTGGAAAAAAAATTAAGTCAATTAGTCACACATGGTGGGTTATTCGATACCATCATCATCGTTACTACCATTAGATTCTGGCGCAAATTTCCTGTACCCCGGTAGCCCCTTCGTCTCCCACTACAGCATGGGCCGGGTTCCACAACACCCAGCGCTTGCCAGTGTGCTTTAAACAAACCTCTAGTGGGTGGTTTGGTGATGGAGGTGGGCGGTCGGAACCACCAGGGTAATGGCAGCTATAACTGATTATTAAATATCAATGACAGATTTAATTGCCCGGTGCGCGGTGCAAAAGTGTTAGCCTCATAAAGGTGGTAAAACGGGGTGCTGGATTTATTTTAAATAAAACCCAACAACAACAGCAACCTCAAAATACAAATACAAATACACCCCTAAAAACAAACAAACAAAAGCACCCCCCCCCCCACAACAAATTTAAAAAAACCCTCTTAACAAAACAAAACATTAATTTTTACAAACAAAACCTAACCCCCCCCCCCCTCCCCAAAGCAAAAACACCAA